ATTCTAATTCCGGTAACAATAGTAAGCTATTATTATTGATTATTACCAAAAAAAATTTTTTATAATAATAATAGTGAATAAGTATCTAATTAGATTTTTATTTTATTTTATTTATAAAAGTAGAATATATATTTTTACCCTTCCTTACATTTCTTAAAAAATTCTAATATATTTTGTTCAATTAATTCTTTTATAAAAAAATGAGTGATGACTGTATAGAAGTAGTGACAGTCAAGGAAGTAGATAAAGATGAAATATCAGAAAATAATACTAAAAATCTGGCTGGAAATTATATCAATGTTGATGCTATTGGACAACAAACTATAATCAATACACATAATGGATGTCCCATTAATGAAATAAAATACAGTCCTAATTGTAAGTTTTTAATAACTCTTAGTTACCAAGATGAATCTATTGCTGGATGGACAGTTAATCCTGATGAAGGAACAATTCAACAAGATAGCCAGGATAATTATTTTAAATTTTCTCAAAAACATATAATGGATGTTTCAGATAGTAAATATATACTTGGTTGTGATAGTAAGTATGATTATTTATTATGCATATTATATTATTTATAAACAATAAATAGTAATAAAAATTTGCATCATTTAAACCAATTTTATAGGCTTACTTGACTTTTCAAAAAAAAAACATATGATTATCAAATTATTAGTAATAGTGATGATTATGGTAATTTCATTACAAATAATGATTTTATAATAATAACATGGGGTTTATTATACAATTTTCATATATAAGTGATAATGGAAATGATAAATTGGTTCATAAATCAAGATATAAAATTCATAATTATTATTATGGTTACACGAATTATTTTGTAAATTCTATTAAGTGATGGGCTTTCATTATTATCACAATGGAAATTGAAGCCAACAACTATATCATATCAAGATAGTTGTTATTTAATATGTAGAAAAGATCATACTGATATAATATTTAATCAAGACAAAACAATAATGGCATTATATTATAAAGATAATTCAAAAATAATAGTTTACTCAATAAAACATAATATTATTATCTCTTCATGTAAGTATTATTTGGCTTTTTTTCTTTCTTATTTTCTTTATTTGTTTATTTATTTATTTTTTATCTTACAGTTGAGTTGGAAAAAGATATCACTATGAAGAAATTAGATTTTATTTATATAAAAAAAAGTCAATTAGAATGTTTATTATTAATATTTTATGATAAAAATATAAATAATTACATTTATAAATTAAAAGATCCTTATAATTTAGATAAATCTATAGAAATTACATATAAAGAATACAAAGATAAAAATGATATCATATTTGGACCAACCATGCCAGATAATAAAATAGTTATGACTATTAACAATCAAATCTACATTAAAGAAATTATTAACAAAGAAAAATTAGACACTTTTCAACAAATACATATAAAAAATAGTTATTATTTATATTTATATATAGTACAAACATTAAGTGAAATATATGAAAAGCTTGATGACAAGGATTATAAAATACCAAGCAAATTTGTTATAGAAACAGGAAAAACCATTAAATGGTCAGTAAAGTATAATAGCAATATAAAAGCTCAAAAAGTTGATAATGAAATAAAAGAAGGATTTACAACAATTGATGAGTATTGTCTTAGGAATTATGAAAATTTTAAATATTGTCAATTACTAAATAATGATGATTTAATGTTAATAACAAATGTATATATACACATTTTGTCATTTAATAATCAAAGTTCTAAAACAGTTACAAAGTATATTAAAAAAAATTACTATTGTTCATTAAAAGCAACAAAACAAATTAAAACTGCTATAGAAAAGAATAACATTGAAGACTATTTATTTAATTTTAATAATGTTACTGAATATGGTTATTCATATATTGATAGACATCAAATTTCCAGACAACCTTATAAAGAAATGATTTTATATATGTTGGATGATTTATATAATTTCAAACATGGAGAGAAATTATTAGGATTAGCATTAAAAGTAAATGATAGCATGCTTGTAGAAGTATTATTTGACTCCTGTCTTAAATATTTTAAAAAGGATACAGCTACAAATATTAGTTTATTAAAAATAATTATATCAGAATTACCAAGATTGCAAAAAAATCATCAAAAATTATCAAAATTCTTTAATCAAACTTCAATGATATTATTTCCATTTAATGATAACATTTCTAATGAAGAAATAACTTATAATGCAATGGTTAATGAAAATTTTATTTCTAAAGATAAATGGTTTAAGTTTAGAAGGTCCAGAATATTTAGAATATCTGAATTTTTTATTATAACTATAATATTTATAACACTTGGAATATTTATAATTTTTGGAATATTTATAATGATGTTATACAATAGTTACAATAGATATGATTCTAAACCTTGTGTAAGATTGATAATTCCATATCCTGGATTACTTAGATACAAACCCAAATACTCATTATTGAAAGAATTATTATATAAGCCAGATTAGCATATTTGTTGAATTAGTTGAATTAGATACTTTAGAATTATACAAGCATTTGAATATTGAACTAATTTTGGATTATAAATGGAACACTTTTGGATTTAGATATTATATTGGAATATTGATTTTTTATATAGTATTTTTATTAAGCTTTGCTATTGCAACTTCCACTTCACCAGATCAGTTATCTGATAATTATAGAAATTCATTATTAACAACAACAATTGTCCTTGGAGCAATTCATCTCACAGTAGAAGTTAGACAATTTATCTGGAAACCATTGAGATATATCACAGATTTCTGGAATTACTTTGGTGTGATGTTATTTTATTATTATCATTTTTATTAATTGTTAATAATTAATTAATTTTTAATAATAATATTATATTAATTATTAATAGATCTAGGTGCCTACTCCTTAGCATTTGTTACTTCAATTTTATGGTTGCATTATAGTAATACACCACCTGTTCAATTGATTTCTGCATCAAATTTATTATTAGATTTAAGATTAATGTTATTTCTAAGAGTTTTTAAAAATTTTGGAGCATATTTTGCCATTATTATAGGAGTTGCTAAAAAAGTCTTTTGGTTCTTAATTATAATAATAATCATCATTTTAAGCTTTTCACATGCATTTTTTTTATTATTGAGACCAAGCCAAGGTGTTGCATTAGACTACCCTGATTTCAATGATGATACCAACAATCCTTGGAACCTTGTTAATGCATATTATACATATTTTGCAAACAACAATTCATATAATCAAGATTCATTTCTTGTACAACAACCTGATTCCAACACAAACATGTTTGCACAACCTTTTTCTTCAATTCTGGCAATGTATAATTTTCTTGCAGGTAGTAATTATATATATATTTCATTAAAATAATAATTAGGTTAAATAATATAATTTGATTGATTTTTTTATTAGGAGATAATGGAGCATTTGGAGCATGGGTGCTGCAAGATGATTTGTATCTTACAGTATTAGTTGTTGCATTTTCATTCATAGTTGTGGTATACCTAATGAACTTATTCATTGGTTTACTTAGCAATGAAATTGAACATTATAATACAAAAGAAGCATTCTTGGCTCAAAAAGCAAAAATTATCACAGAGATTGAATTATTTTATTTATTTCCTAATCAACGTCGTTGGAGAAATTGGTTTCCAGATATATTGTAAATATAATAATAATTAGTGATCACAATCATCATATTCTTGAATATTCATTAAGGGGGTTACACTTATCAAAATCAAGTGATTGACACATAATTTTAAGGGATTTTTGGAATTTTGATAAGTGTAACCCCCTTAATGAATATTCATGAATATGATGATTGTGATCACTAATAATAATCATTTAATCAATTAAAATCATTTTGATAAATTCCTTTTAAAAAATTTTTTTTGTTAGATACTATCATGCACCAATTGATGATATTTGTAAAAAAATTAAAGAAATAGATGATAGCAATGAGGATGAAAAAGATCTCCCATATATTTCTGATAGGCTTAGAGAACTTGCTGAAGTGACTAAAAAAACAGAAAATAATTTTGATTCAAGATTTCAACAAATTGAAGACAAACTTGAAAATAATATGAAGGAAATAAAAAAAAATCTTCAAGATGACCTCAAGGAAATGGAAAATAAATTAAATAATAATAATGATCAATTGTTGATTCAAATGCAAATTTTGTTGAATGAAATTAAGAATTCCAAAAAATAATTATTAGATTTATTATTTTATTTTTTTTTATATTATTATATATTATAATTACTTTTTACAAGATTATGTTTATGATTTTTGGAAAAACCATTGTATTGTTATTTTTAAAATTTTGAAAGTTAAAAAATGTGATAATATTAATATATATTTCGTGATAACATGTCTAATGATTTTGTAATTTTAGCATTTTGAATAAATTAGAACTTGTCAGTATTTCAACTTAATTTTCAACAACCAATCAATTAATTTAACTAAACAAGAACTGCCCCAAGACCAGAATGTTTACTAAGAATTGACACATATAGCGTTTGTTGTGTTGTGAACAATTATTTGTTTGAGTGGAGGAATAAGGACAGGCACGAATTTGATAACATAAAAATAAATGTTGGTTTGATTCATGTTGTCAACAATCACTTCACTAACAGTTGTTTTGTTAACAAATGGTTCGAATTTAAAAAGCTGGAAGCAGCCACCTGACAAACCTTTGAAATAGTCTAATAAATTAAATGTATTTAAAGGGTTGGTTTTTGACTTGGTTGAAGAATAACTCTCTTCCTAACTCTTCTCTTGACCATATCTCTCGATATAATCAAAATAACTTTAATATAATGAATGTCAATGAAATGATTGTAAACACAACAAATTAAGATATACGATTACCCAGATCATCATCAACTGTATTTTCGTTATTTTTGATAAACTCATTTTCGTTTAATCTTTTTTGTCATACTTTTTTTTAGTGCATTTTGATTTCAACTTGAAGATAGTCCACTGACAATGATATGAAGAAGGATAGCTACACAGAGGTGCAATTTTTATTCTTGAAATACATTATGTCAATTGAATACTCGCTAATTTTTAATCTCCATCCAGATTCATGAGACCGGAAGCAATAATCACATTGATCAACAGCAAAGCTCACAACACGAAATAGACCCTGGGGTGTAACCACTAATGATGAAATTGATCTCCCCGAGACTTGTGATGAGGTTGGAGAAAACAAGATAGAATTAGATCTTCAAGAACCATCTGTTGTTCGCATCATTAAGGACAACTCAGAAGGTTTAGACTGGGATACAGTAATGCACAAGGTAGAAGAATACCATGAAAATTAAACAAAACAAATTTGTGCTTTCAAATGATTTTTTTTTTATTTTTGCTTCTTATATGGTTGTATTTATAACATTGTCAAAATTTAATATTATTTTTCAGTCCCCTTTACTACTATTTGATCAATCACTCTGACTTTTGTAGTCCAATATTAAAGTTATTATCTGATGTTTTTCCTCAAATGTTAAGTGCACTTCCAAAAATATGTTTTTGTATTCCAAAACTAACTGAAGAAGAAGCAAAATTTATTAACAAACTCTTGAAGATAATCAGTAATTTTTTGTTTTAAAATAATAAATCATGTATATTAAAATATTTTTTATTTGTAGGCAGAAGATGTTGATGGATATACCAGCAGTGACAGGAGAGGAAAAAACTTTTAGAAAGCTTTTCAGTCACATGTAAGTGTAGATATATAGTTTGTTATTTAACAGATAAATGAGATCTAATGGCCATATATCTCCTCTAGCCTTGATTCCATAACAATGACTAGAAAAAATGATTTGCCTGAAGTCAAACACATGTTTAGAAATGTTGTCCCTCTGCTCAATGCAACAATTGGAAAAGATGGTTATTTTTTGGGTGAAGTAGTGAGTTACTTGTACAAATATAAATTACCTTGTTTTCATACAAAATGTGATCATTGATATTTTTTATTTAGTGGCAAACAATCACCGGCAGCAACAGCTACATGATGAAATAAAAAGAGAAACCCAGATGACCATGCATGAATTAGATTTGAGATTGATGCAATGATCGAATACCAGAACCTTAGCTGGACTCCAGTTATTAGCTGTTTAGACGTTTCTGTAGTGATGTTAGCTGTTTAAAAATTCTTAGCTAGCTAAGCTTGCTTACTACCTAAATTGGTAATTTTATCTCTAAAACAAGAAAGTAATGCAGAAATCTATTGCCAAATTTAGAAATTATTTATGCAGATTATTAGCCACTAAGTTTCTGGTGGTCTTCCACAGTGCTCACGATCTAAAGAGTTAAATGATACACTTAAACTTGGATTAAAACTCCAAGACTTATGGTGATTGCTGTGGATTATTTGATGGGTGTAGATGCAAGTATATTGGTATGGTGGGGCCTTACAGTGATTGGTAAGTATTATAATTTAAAAATACAAAAAATTTTATGTTATACTGTAATTTATAAGTATATGAATACTAAATCAAAATGGAACTAGGCTGCAAGATCAGAATATATGCTTTTACTGCTTCTGGTGGCTTATTTCATTTGGTCTTAATGTACAAAACTTTCCCCCCATCTTCTTGTGAAGACCTTTATAATTTGGAACTTACATATCTTGTATTGAAGGAATTAGTGTTGGTTTCCAAAACTATTTTGAAGAGGCGAAAGTCAAAACTAAAATTAAAAGTTATATGTCAAAACTAAATCAAAAGTCAATAGTCAAAAATCAAAACTAGTTTCGACTTATGGCGAAACCTTTTGACTTTCGCACAGTTGTGAAACTCTCTAATTTTGGAAACCAACACTAGAAGGAATACAAAAAGAAGTTGGATGAATCAAAAGAGATGATAGGTGAACTTAGTCAGAAGGATGTGCAACTAAGTACCAGAAAGAGGAATGTAGATAAATCAATGGAAAGTAAGTTGGTAAAAAAACCAAAAATTGTAAACTCACCTGATTGGAAAGTACAAAATAAGCAAAAATAGTTGAAATTTATGTTGTGAACATTACTTCCTTATCAAAAAATAATTGTATTGCAAAGTCACAATCATAATAAAATTTGATTACGTATTAACTTATCATTGTTGTATATTTAATAAAGTTTTATCTTTGGATATGTAAAATGTGTGTTGGAAAATAAAAATTTATATGTTTACTTGCAATCTCATGATCACCTACAAAAAAAATAATTTATATTGCTTCATGTTTTATTACTATAATTAATAAAATTTGTTTCATGTTTCGTAAGTGTTAATCTGCATGTATGGCCACATGTGAACATAATTATAGACACGAATGATAAAGTTGTTAATTATGAAAGATTAAATATTTCTTCTCTATATTTATATATCTTTTCAGGAATAGTAACTTCTGGATTCTCATCATACCATGTTTCAATAAGGTATATACCATTAAGTTGACATAGACATCTTTTTTTCCGATCACGATTAACAATATCTTCGAGTTTTTTGACATCTTTATACCAGCTAGTGTTATGGAGCCGATGCTGAGATCCCTGTACCTCCAATACAATTTGGTATTTCTGAAAAAAGGCATCAAGTTCTAACCCATTCAGAAAAGAAGGACGGTATTCAATTATTGGCTCCTCATTAAGAATTTCTTTAGCTATCTGAATGCATTTAGTCTGAAATTTACGGATTTTTCTTAGATAACAGCTTCTGTTCCAATTTCGCAATCTAACTTTAAGTTCAGTTTGTTCAACAGCAGTATCTATCCAATATTTTTCAAGTTTAGAAATTCTTTCATTCAACGAATCAATTATGGAATGTGTATCGGCCATAGTTTTATATATACAAAATATGAATATATTCAAGAATTCAGAAAAATAATTATTAGATTTATTATTTTATTATTTATTATTATTACTTATATATATTATGATTACTTTTCACAAGGTTATGTTTATGGTTTTTGGAAAACCATTGTATTTGTTATTTTTTAAAAAATCGAAAGTTAAAAAATGTGAATAAATTAAATATTTATTAATAATCTAAGCAATCCAATCAGAACCAATCATTGAAATATTCAATTAATTCAGAATATAATTGAAAATAAGATGAGAAGTTCATTAAATACATATAGTTTAGATTATACATGTGAGCGAGACCTCTCAAAGATATGGCTGAAATCTGAAAGTCCAAAACTTAAGTTCGAAACCAATGCCAAATTCCAAACCCACTTTTTAATATTCAAATTATTCTTATATATAACAAAAATTTAAACTAAAAATAAAATATAAACCAAATTTAAACTTTAATAACCATTCTTGATATATTTTTTGCTAATGCTTCAATATCAAAATCATTATGCCATGAAATCAATACAATAGCTTATCTCCTTTTACCAATAATCATTTTGTTGTCCAACGTTTATTTATTAATTTGTAGCAGAAATGCCATCAGATCTATTAAAAACATTTCGGGTAAATACAATATAATTTATATTTATGAAATTTATTTTGTTTACTAAATAAAAACAGTGGGAAATCAATTGGGCTCTAAAGGAGTTATCGCCCAAAAAGGAATTAAAATTAGTGATAACATTTGAAGAACAAAAGGATTTTGTTGTCTAAAAATTAAAAAAGATCAGGATATATTTTCCAATTATTGATGGCGTAATCTGTGGTTTATTACATACACGTCATTGGTACCAATGGGAAGAAGAAATCAAACCGAAGAAACAAGAGTGTGAATTAAAAGAAGACAACATGCAAATAGCCATCAAAGCGAGGTAAAGAAATCAATCATTTTGAAACTGAAGTCAAATCAGTTTTATAAAATTTATTTTAGTTTTGACTTATGCCTCTTCAAGATAGTTTTGGAGATTAACACATATCATTAAAAAATTAATGTTTATTTTATAGACAAAGAATTAGACAAAAATGCTTGAAATCAAGTGACCTAAGTTTGATCGAGTTAAGCAATCATCAGAAGTTTCAGAGGATCAAGTTCGAAGAGGGAAATTTATTATTAAAGACCTAAGTTGGATATTGAATGCTGTATGTTATTTTATTAATATTAATTATTTTAAATTAGTTCTTTTAAAAACTTGAATTACTACTTTGAGTTTATCTTGATCAAATTTTTCAAGAACAAACAAGAGTTCCTCATATATAACCATATACATCTATATTTCACATTTGAATGAAAAAAAGTTAGTATATAATCCAGAGGATGAAAAAGCAGACACAGATGAAGATGTATAAGATACTTGGTTGCGTCATCAGATGATGATAGATTAATGAATGCATCGTCATTCGAGCATGAAGCATATAGTGCTGAATGGATTGCTCTCATACCCATGAGAGTGACGACAGAATTGAGTTTGCATCATCATACTGATATTTAGTGCCCACAGAAAGCTTCTATACCAATATTTTCTGCTATACAATGTCTGTATGCAACAAAGTTTACATATTTTGCAAACCTAATGAATACACATGTGTGTATCCCTGGATTAAAGCTTATGAATGTTACTTACCTTTGGCACTTTGTGCCTCACAACAACTTGATATATATATGATTATTTGGAATGCTAAACTCCCTTTTGGTCGTAAGAGACATTACGTGTCTCAACATAAATTCATGATTGACTGTATATAAGTACACAAATGGTATTATTTTTGCTATGAAGTTGGATTTGTAGATTGTATATAACATATAAAAATGGTAATCGTTCCATGTGCAGTCATTTTATATAACAGCAGTACACATAAGAATGCATATGCGAAACAAAATTTAAAAATCCGAATTTAATTATAATCCACTTGGCTACAGTAGAAACTAGATAATAAAATTTGGTATATATTTTGCACAAAGATTAGGTTTATTCACTTTATTTACTTATACTTATATATTAACTGTCTTTTTAAAGAAATTTACATGGAAAATGTCAAGGTTCAGGTGCGGCACAGCAAACCTATATCCTGCCTGTCCTTTTCAAGTTTTACCCAATAAATTCATAAAATGACAGGGGGATAGGCTACCCCTTCCATGCCATGCTTGCCACTTGATTTTTCACGTAGATTATCTGTCCCGCAGCCAGATATCAAAAAAGATAGGGACAGGGCATCTACCACAATTTACTGTGCCCTATCCCTTTCGTGTGACTCGTACTTGTGTACAATTTTTATTATTATTAGTATTAACTTCTTATTCCGTAGAAGACGCAGTAGATTCTAATGTTATTGTTTGTGCAACTTTATCATTGATTCATATCAATGATAATAATAATAATAATAATAATAATAATAATAATGATAAAAATAAAATAGGGATACATACGGAATTGTAAAATGGGAGTATTCGTAGTATGTATTTCGGCTACTACTATTAATGTTTTCCGTAAACATCAGGTGATACGAGAGCGGTGAAAAATTTTAGATGTAAAAATACGTGCGAGAGTAGTTCGACTAAAGAAATTGAAATTTAAGAAAAAGTATTAAATAATTATGAATTTAAGATATATATAAGAATAACAGGTACTTAATAGACGATAAGTTTTAGGGGATACTATAAATTAAACCCTCATAACTCTGGCCAGAGAGTAAAAATCCAACGTTTGGCCGCAGCGAAATACTCCTTGACTTTAATAATCTTTTGGCGCAAAAATTTTTTTTTTGAGTTGATAATTCACTCCTAAGGAGTAAGTAAATACTATTTTCGGTAAGCTATTAATAGATTACGGCTGTTTGTTGTCCTCCACTGTACAATATATATATATATATAATCAATATAGTTAATGACAATCATATCGATCGGTAAATTGTCAGTTGATTAGAAATAGATTGGCAAATTGTGATGGATGATTGCAAGAAAAACATAAAGGAGATAAGTGTGTGACAAAAAATCTATTATTTGTGCAAATCGCTGTATATTTCTACAATTATTAATAATTAGCCGTGCCGTGAGATAAAATTACCCGCGAGATACGAATTACCCGCAACCAAATTTACTATTATCTTAGCAATTACAATTAGTTAAATAAAATCACATGCAAGTAAACAAAAATATTAGGAGAACTTACGAATAATCAGCTACCAATCATTATCGATATTAATAAATATTACTAATAATATTAATAAGATTAAAAATCTATTATGGTAGTACGTGGATGATAAATAAAATAGAAGAGTAAATAAAAATATTAATAAAATAACAAGATATTAAGTGGGCTGTGTAGTGTTCAAAAGAACAGAAACAACAACAACGACAACAACGACGGCTTTAAGTCATGAGTCTTTAGATGAGTTTTCACACATATATAATTTGTTTAGACCATAATAATTTAAGAAAAATTGTATTTTAAGGCAAATATATTATTACAAAATAGATAGTAGATGATAATATGCTATTTGTTAGGCCATTAAAAATTAACTTTTTGATTTTAACTATTTGATTAGTTTTTTTATATTTAAACTTGAATTGCATACAAAAACAAACAATGCAAAACAGAACAATCAATCTAACTAAAATTAATAAATAATTTACTTATTTTCGTTAGTCCCATTGGTTTTGCCCAATGAACCGTGATTATGTAATAATCAATCGAATTTTTTAATATATAAATTATTGTAAAACCGTATGTACATTTTTTTAATTTAAAAATATAAAGCCGTTCGTTAAATATTTTTTTATTTTTAATAAATCAAAGTTTTATTTATAACATACGCGTGGTACTAGTACTAACTAATCCATCTACGTCAGAGATTTTCCGTACCTTATTATTTTTGTTGTACCACGGCAATCAATTTTTTATTTAGAACGATTCCAGACCTTCACAAACTGTTTCACAATAAATTAGTATGGATATATATATATAGTAAAGATACGCATATGGAATTGAATTGATGTGGAACCACGAATTGTTTTTACATTCAAAAGTTAAAAATATGAAACATAACATCCGGGTTTCAAAAAAAAAAACTCCATAACCATTCATGCGAAATGCAATAAATAACTTTCGTGATACCATATTGTTCGAAAATACATGATCGAATTGGGCAGTGATTTCCTTCTAATCGTAAACCTTTTTTTTATAGAACTTTAATAAAAAAGAAAATATGTTGTAAAAATATTCTATTGAAAAAATTTTATTACCCATAATTTACTTGGTCTTGAATTTTTTAAGTGTATAATAAAATTTGTAATTTTTAAGATGCTAAGGCTTGCTCAATTTTTAGTTTAAGAAAAAACTGCCGATAAGTTTTGAAGAGCAATAAAACCTATATCGGCTAACTTTTTTAAAAATGAGATAAAAATTTTTGTTCTAGTATTTTGAAGTTAGTCCATTATTATTAATATGACTTGCACAATAGACGGTGATTTTGGTTATGTATCAGATATGGAAATAATATTGGAAAGTTTAGAGTGTCATGTTATGCGTAGGTAAAGTGGAAAATGTGAAAAGAAAAACTTGGTATTAGAGAAAGTAAAGCAAACAATTTCAACAATAAACGAGTAAGAAGCAGATGAAGGAAAAGTGAAAAAAAAATTGAAATATATTAAAATGAAAAAATCAATTATTTATTATAAATTTTAGACGACTGTTGTAATTTTTTTTTTTTCTTTGACCGGAAAAACTTGTAAATTTCGCAATCAATCAATAATAAAATATTAATATTTTCACAAAAATAAAATTAAAGGGAAAAGAGTTTTTGAAATTGACGCTAACCAAATTATACATTTTTTTTCAGATAATTTATATATGTGCAAAGTTTACACTCCTTAACCCCTATCAATGTCAAACCCATGCCGTAACCAAAGCTCCTAGTTCAAATCCAAATAAGCCACTCAGGGTAAAGTTTAAGTTTAAGTTTAAATTCTCTACGTCATTGTTTAAGGAATTCAAAGAGTCTAGAATCACATAATTTGGCACATTCATATAGATTCATTATTAATTATCGAATGAGAAACTAAAAGACAAAAGAAAATTTATCGCACAGTTTATTTAAAAAATTGAGTAAAAATCAAAGATTATATAATAAAATTATGCGCATATTTGTTATTATTGTAAATATTAAATATGGTCTTGCGATTTTACACTTTCCGTTAAATTGTGATGATATTAATAGACTTTCGATAATTTCCATAATTAGACAAAAATATTTTTACAACGCATGCAATTAATACACTATCTCTCTCAAAATTAATTTTTTTTTAAATTATTAACACACGAAAATCATGTAACAAACAAAATCAAAACAAAACAAAAATGACGGATTATTATGAATTTAAGAATATTTTTTTAAAAAAGATTTACATTGCAATAAACAACAAATAAACAAACGAACATATAATTATTAAATAGGTTGAAATTATCATTACAGTTAAAATTCAAATTAATTAGACCAAGAATTAGGATTTATTTATTGTAAAAAAAATAATCGTAATCAGCTTGGTCTAGAAGGAAGGAAGGAACGAATGAAATTGAATTGAATTGAAACAAGTAATAAGCAAAAACGAATTGAAATTGAACCGAAGTTGGGCTGTATGGAATAATTTCAGTGCATGCGATTGGTTTCTCATTGATATAAATACATGATTTATAAACAAACATATATAAAAAGAATATTATTAAGGAGGATAATAAAACAATCAAGATATAGAAAACAAAAACTTCAAAAATCCGAAAAACAACAACAATCAACAAATCCAATCGACCAATAATAACGCTAATAATAAATTATAAATAGCAATAATGACAGTTGCGATTTTTGATTGATTGTTCATAATTACTGTAATTGGAAAATAATCTTAAAAAAAATTTTTCAAATTTTAAATAACTTCAGGTTTAGCATTTTTAGTAATTTTTCACAAACAAAAAACCACAATTCGCAACGTTTATTCATCCATTCGCAACCACCCGTTCAATAAAGAACTCGAGCAAAACAATTAATTTATCAATAATAATAATTCATCCATACTAAAAACATGCGCCTGTACAAAAACGTACGAGGTCATAAAAATATTTGCAAAAAACAAAGATACACAACAAAACAATATATAGTACAGGTACAAACAAGATAAATAAGCTGATAGACTTCTTAAATGCTAAAAAAAGAATAAACATAATATCAGAATTAACATAAGAAAAAAAGATAAAAAAAAAGAATCTAAAATTTTTGTGCATAATAGATTTATATACTATAGATTATATCCATATTAATGTCTATATTTAATATGTACATTTACGTAAATCAACATACATATATAAAGAGCGCCAAATCATCAAAATATTGTTGTGGTACTAAATATAAAAATCCTACCGTTTTAGTAAATAATGATGATGTTATTAAATCATTTTTCTAAATGATTGGTACGAAATAAAGAAAGGAAAAATAGAAATATTATATAATTTTTTTTTTTTATTATAAATAGAGGGAAGATATCAAATCGTATGATTTGCAAATAATAATCACTGGTTTAATTTATTTAATTATTAGTTTTTGGTTTCTGGTCTCATTAGTATTGGTGTAACAACGATTTTGAATTTTATTTTTTTTTCAAGATTCTAACAAAAGAACTTTTTCTATATATAATTAATATATTAACACAAACGGTACAAAAAAACAACAACAATTAACAGAAACTAATTTCTTATGCACAAAATTTATTATTATTATTATTTATTATTATTTATTAGACCCATACTTCTAACACACATTTGGCACTCTCAACACATTTTTTTTTTCATCTATACACCAACTCTATTTATATTTATTTATTTTTTTCATGTATAAAAAGCAAACGACCTGAAACATTTTTAAGTGACACTTTGTATTTTTTCCTAAATTACACACTACACACCACACTACAACCATAATTTCAGCTGCCACACCATAATCTCGTAATCATCATCATTAGGACAAAGACATCGTAAATTTAGTCGCACACTATTACACAACTAATATTATTTATTTATTTTAAAGGATAACCATATAACACGCCACAATTACTTTTATATTATTTTCTTCTAATGCTCCACATCCACACCTCATCCTCATCTACCACATTGTCATTAAGCATTAAAATCACACAACTTATGCATATTCTGTTGCCAAGAATTAAAAAATTTATCGACATCGTCCACACCGTTCACATGCACAGCGTATATATATTACCTTTCTTATCTTATTACTTATATTATTAGATATATTTAGCTTTGTACTTGCTTATTAATATGTCGCGCACGCTCGTAAATAATATATGCATAATATGTTCGTCATCATAATAATTTAAATTTAGTAAATTTATAATAACCACGTAATTTTAATTTTTTAATATAAAAATTAAATAAATTATTAATCATTAATTATTATGGTAACAATTACATATATATATATATAACATAATCAATAATCTCTTTTTACCTTAATCATTCTAACCGTGATATTATATTAATTTAATAATAGGTTGTTTGTTTATTGTGTAAATCTATTGCGAATCTAGAATGCTCATTTCCATATCAATATCCAAATTCATATCTACGATACATATATACACATCGGACTATAACCACCATAACATATAAATAATCAGACGCCGAATATTATTCTACACATATCTCTAATGATCTATATATATAATCTGTACGCGAACAAAATACAAACATACAAACAAATATTTAAATTTAATTAATTTAATATTAAATTAATGCAGATTTATAGATAAAAAGGAAATCCTTTCGATCTCGCCAGCATTTTTATTGATTTTAATAATAAAGTATATAAAAAAAATTTTTTTCAGTTATCTTTGTTGATTTATTGATTTATTGATTTATTGATCTGTTACAAACTTTCTTATTGATTTTTCACAAGTTTTCTAGGTTTGGCTATCCATTCACCATAACTACTTTGGTTATATGTAAATTATAGTTGTGTATACATATTAAAAATATTTGTTACCATTACAATTTTAAAAAAATAAATAAATCAACAAAACAACCTTATTGCAAATTCTCATTTATCCATTTTTTTTTTTGTTTGTTATTATAATTTATAAATATATAAAAGATAGATATTTTTTTAATTTCTTTTTTTCTGATTTTTCAGGATTAATTGGAAATCCAATCAAAATTATCAAAATTTCTTTTTTCGGGTATACCTTTTCTCTACTTTTTCTAAATAATCAATACAATCTATTTTAATTTTCTTTAATCTTTCTTAAAGAAATAAGCCTTAAAGCACTATCATTATCATCTTGATAATAATACAGTATTCGATATTATTAATATTCAAAAAAGGAAAAGTAAAAAGAGAAAAGTTGTTTTTGAAACCAAAAATTGATTCATATTTATAGTTAAAACCACTAGATAAACTTTGGTTAAACTATTTTTATTCTTTTTCCCCCTTATAATTTTATTTTTCAAAATTACGCGATTATTTTTTTTCTAAGACTTAATTAAATATTCTTCCTTCCTTCCCTTACCTATACTTCTCATTTCTTACACCTTATATATATACACATATCGCGTACACAAACATTCACCAATAATTAATTTTCAAGTCATAAAATATTTCATTCTAATTTTCTCTTATTATTTATTATTTTGATTTGATTTGATATTTATCCTTTTTGGATTTCTTGGCGTAAACATTTAATTTTATTTAATTTTAATTAATTCTTTTTTTTTTTAAAAAGAAAAGTGATTTATTTTAATATATATATATATATATATATATATTGTTTATTTATACACATATTCATAATTACAATAATTGTATAAAAAATTTTTCTTTGAAAGAAAAAAAAATCATTTATAAATATAAACGCATAGATTCAAGTTTTATCTTTTTAGCTTTTAATATTTCAATAAATATATATACATAAGTTTATAGCAAATAACAACGACAACAACGAAATATTAGCAACAAAATGGATTTGAAATTAATTTGCCAAGAAAGCGCGACAAATGCGTCAACAACAGAAGCAGCGACAGTAACCTCTATGACGATTAATAGTAAGAACAAAGCGATTGATTTAAAAATCGACAATGATGTTGCTGATAAAAAAAGGACAGAAGATCATAATCATGATCAATATCTATCGTCCTCGTCATCGTCATCACCATCATTATTGTCACCATCATCATCACCATCATCACAATCATCGTCATCACCATCATCAGCCTTTAATTTACCTTCTATATTTTCTATATTAAATAATAAGAATTCGCAACAAACTCAATCTTTGCCACCATCGGAATTCGGCAATGATAACAATGCTATTGCACCGACATCAACTTCTCAATCTCATTCTCAATTACAACAATTTCCATCGCAACAACTTACCGCTGTTGCTGTTACTTCTCAGCCATCATCATCATCTAGATCATCTACTCCATCTGCTCCTCCTCCACAATCACACTTGCAACAAGGACAACTTTTAACTCCTCCATATAATAAAGGTTTTAATTCGTCTTATCAAGATGATAATAATAATAATAAATGTTCTTCGCATCCAAACCCTACACATCTTAATCAACAACAACAACAATTAGACGAGCATTCATTAATTACTCCCGCAACTCCTTTATCTGCTGTTTTTCCTGCTCCTCCTCAATCTCATAATCATCAACATCAAAAACATTTACATTCATCATCATCATCACCACCATCATCACCATCACCATCGTCACCATCACCATCACCATCACCGTCATTAACTCATTCGCAACATCCACAAGATCCAATTCCACAGCATCCATCACACCATCAACGTCTACATCCATACTATAATAATAACAACAATGATAATAATGGTAATGGTAGTCATCATTATAATCCATCATTAGAATATTATCAACAATATTTGGAAAAAGAAATGCACCAGAATCGTCAAACATTGCTCAGTATTGATGGTAACGGTAATAGTCACGAACGTAATTTAGATGATCTGAAAAGGGTATTATTTAAATTTATAATAAATATATATAAATATTTATCTTATAATCATTATTTATTTATTTTATTTATTATTTATTATTTAGATTGTGGACAATTGTACGCAAATTAGTCAATTTGCAACATATTACAGAGACATTTGTCACCGTGAAATGAACTATAATAATCCTGATAGCAATAATATCAACACATATAACAACAATAATCAGGATTATTTAAATAATAGTATGTGGCAAATGTCTTTAAATAATTTAAAAAATTTAGAGGGTCATATTTCGGATTTAATAAATAAAACCTTCGAAGTACTCTATGCTTTAAATGCTCTGAAAGATGAGACCATTCGGAAGGGTCCTGTAAGTATTTAAAAAAATTTTTTTATTATAGATTGGATGAAATTTTTAAACTCTAGTTTTTACTAATATAATATATATATAAATATAGACTGAAATAGAATTAATCAGAAATAAACGCACCACTCTAAATAACTCTTCGGCCCGCCACAAATACAGAAAAAGAACAGTAAGTTTATTATTATTATTATTATTATTGAAAATTCCATATTCTTTACTTATATTATCTACAATAATAGAAACGATTGGCACCCCCGGGAAGATGTCACTCGTGTAACATACAAGAAACACCCGAATGGCGTCGAGGCCCTGATGGAGCAAGAACTTTATGTAACGCTTGTGGTTTGCGTATGTATATATATTTTGTTTTATTGATGGATGGAGAGTATTTTTAAAAACATAAGAATTAATAAATTTATTTATTATGTAGATTTCGCCAAATTAACAAGAAAACGTTCACAAGCTGCAATGTTGGAACATCAAAGATTCCAAGAATATTATAGTCATCTTGCATATCAACAACAACAACAGCAGCAGCAGCAGCAGCAGCAGCAGCAGCAGCAGCAGCAGCAACAACAACTACTACAACAACAACAACAACAAAATCATGAACCATTAGCACACGAAAAAAAACGTGAGCATAATAATGAATTAGCACAAGAACAAATTCATCATCATCATCATTCTCATCATCATCATCACTTACAACAACAGCATTATTTGTTACAAAATCAATATCAACCTCCTCAACAACAACAGCAGCAACAACAAGAGAAATTATAAACATTTTCATATCGTCCAAAATACTAATACTGATACCATACTATCGTTTTTTCTTTTCTCGTTATTTATTTTTTTTTCTGGCAAATATCTGAAATATTTTTTACCTTTTTTAAGATTTTTTTATGTAATTTCCTCGATTTTTTTTAAACGATATTTATGCATTTATTCTTTTTATGTAATTTTAATTCTTTTTCATATTTCATACATTACATTTTTTTTTTAAAAAGAAAAACCGTAAGATTGATTTTTTTTAAAAAAACCATATATGTAAATTATCATTATCATCAACAGTAACATCAACAACAACACAACAATACATATACATATGCTTTGTAAGTCAAAATGTACCTTTTTTTTCATTATAAAATTGGATTTTCTTTTTTCTTTTTTGTATAATAATTTTATATCATCCATCATCAATAAAAATTCTTTTCAAAACAATTATAAAACTCGAATTTTTCATAACATTTTATACTTGCCGAACACAAAATTTTTTTTTTTTAATTCAAATATCATTGTTGGGTATAAAAATTTTCGAAAAAAATATAAAGTTGTCTAAAAAAAAAAAAAAAGTAGAATGAAACAATTTGATGTCATTTAATTATAAAACTAAACTCTAGGCTATTCTATTTTCTTTCGACCACCTTCTTCGCATTCGCATACACACGAACGACCCAAAAATACCTTCTCTTTCAACGAATACACATACATAAATTGTAGCGGTGATGACTCTTATAATTACTGAGGACTTTGTGATTCATTGCGATGAAATAGTTAGTTGCCAAGTAAAATATTTGATTATTTGATTTTTTTTATCAGTCGGATCCACTTGAATCGACCCGGCTTGTTGCGTGGTAATGACAAGTTTCATATTGCCTTCTTTTTCTTGGTATTATTAGCACGCTAGAGATTCCGATCTAAAACGCTTGAGCTCAATGCATATCCTGAAAAAAAATTTTGGAATGAGAAGAAAGTCAGGGTTGTATAATACGTGGTCAATGTAAGAATGTTTATTTGCGTGTAACTTATATTAAAGAATTAATAATCAAATAGATAAATATCCTGAAACTGCAATATATCATAATAATTGCTCTATTATTAACACAGCCAGATGTAATATGAATATCAATATATTTTAATGGTTTAGACATATGAAACAGTATTAATAATGAATATCATCACATGGTGAAGAAGCTCTATAATTACACTTTCCTAAAAAAGTATAGAATTAATGTTGTGTTTTCCAAAACTATAGAGTTTTAAAACTGTGCGAAAGTCAAAAGACCTTGCCACAAGCGGAAACTAGTTTTGTTTGACTTTTGATTTAATTTTGTCATGTAACTTTTAATTTTAGTTTTGACTTTCGTCTCTCAAAATAGGTTTGGCGACAAACACTATATAATATTCAAGGATTAGTGATCCAATTTTAAAAATCTTTTTTTATTAAATGAAAGTTCAAAGGTAAGCAACATAATGATAAGTTCGCTTAATTTTTCGGCAAGATTACGCAAAAATCATGTGATTTTATTGTAGGTCATGCGAATTAATTTTATTTTAATGTACAATGTACATAATAATGTATATTGTAAATCATCAACATAAATAAAGCTAATCAGCAAAATAAAATTTTTGAAAATAAAATTAAATTCGAATTTTATTTTATAAACAAATATGAAAAGTAAAAGAATTTGAAGTAAATAAAACCAGTAACAAGCGATTAGTTAAATTAGTTAATAATTATTGTAATACCATATATAAACTTGTTTCCTGTGGAATTTTACAAGATATGAAAAAATACACTATCACTGGTATTATTATCGATCCTGATGAAAAAAAAAACGTTAATTGATACAATTTTCAAAAATGACTTTGGTTAAACTTTATGCATTTGGAGTGAATCTTTATTTCGAATTAATTCTTCAATGGTTTCTATAAATACATTCATTGATTAACAATAATAATAATATTATTATTATTTATTATTTATTATTTATTATTATTTATTAGTTAATTTAAACTTTATATGGATCATAACCAGACAAAGTGAACAAAGTAATTTTGGTAGTGCAAAGTGTTGGGAACAATTGCTCCTGTAATATTATGTAATGTGTGTGTGATTGTAAATTAACGGTTTTGTGTCCTTTCATTTTTTCATTTAACAAAAAAGATATTAATTACTTTTTAGCCTCACATATTTGGTATTCGACAAGTAAATATCTTGAGTTCATCATTGGAAATGGCGCAATTCTACTACTGTAAAGATGTTCTTGACCGGAAATGGTAATAACATATGATTTTTTTTGTATTCTTAAATGTCTTGGATACATAAAATCTCTTGAACATTCACAATATCAAAGATCAAACTTACTTCCAAACAGATTTAATATCAGCCTTTCTCATTCATAACATGTGTTAGATCTTTTTAGACTTTTTTTCTTGATTAATCCAAAACCGTCATTATCACATTTAAATTTGAATTAGATGAAATTTAATTCTCGATAGTTTCACAATAGTCACAAATTGCTAAGTTACCAAGTATAGATATGAATATAGTCATATTGTTTTTATTCTGTTATCTATCACAGATATGTTTCGCACCTTTATTCAATTTCTAATAAACATTTTTATCAACTGCCGTATTGGGATATTCTTTGTATTACTACGAACCTAACATATCGAGAGTAAAAGGTCCTCTTATTGACACAAGCTTTCTTTTTGAGGCTTTACTATTCGTTGCTTTAAACTGTGCCATTAAAAATATGTTTTGGAAAGAGATTTGTGTGATTCTGAAAGTACTTTTTGAAGTGCAACTTTTCTTCTAAAAAATAGATATTCAATGAAATAATTATATTTGTTGCTCCCACCAGTAGAAAAGATGTAATTCACAAAGGTTTCACATAGTGAAAGCATAACAACCGTTTTTACAATATTTTTACAAATACTAGTGAAATATTATGGAGATTATTGTAAAAATATTGTAAAAAAGGTTGTTATGCTCAATGATTTCACTGTGAAATCTTTGTAAATTACATTTTTTCTACCAGTGTCCTCAATACACATCATTACAAAACTGAAGTTTTATTTAATATCTAGGCCTAACTTTTTAAAAGGGCAAAGTGGTAAGTTATTAGATTTGGAGAGGGAGAGACCTTATGATTAATGCAAGCTGGTCGAGAGATTTAGACGTAACAATATTACGCAAGAAAGAATTACCTGGCACTCTATCCAAACCACTCAGTATCTTATGATCAACACAAACCAGCTAGAAAATTTTGTAAGTAGAACCACTACACAGGAAAAATCTCTACTAATGCTGTTCCCGCATAGCATTCAAGAATTCAGCAAATCCAACTCTTAATTATCAATGTGTTGGATTTATTCTTCTTTTGAGTTTTTGAATGAAGGCAAATCTTAATTATACATGGCGGATGGCAGTTTATGTAATTTATGATTTACAAATCATAAAGGATCATATATCAACTAACAAAAACAGCAACTATCTTCGTTGCCTAATCAAACAAGCCAGTCAACAAAAAGAACGTAAATTGAAGATAATTTGTGATTGTGATGAACGTCTACAGCATTCTAAGCTGTTTCTTCTTTGAGAAGCCGTGAAAAAAAAAAACATGCTACTTCCTGATTATTTTAAGAGATTTTGAGCTAAAGCAAAGATTGTTCTCTTTATTACTTGTAGCTCCATGTTGAATAAGAAGGCATTTGGATACTCCTACGATGATGAAACGGATATGCAGCAATTGAAAAATTTGACAATAGAATATTGAAAGAAGGATAAAACTGATCTCATTCCTAACAGCATCTCTTTATGATCACCCACATTTTTGTATTTATAAAAAAACTATTTATCGAAATTACATATGCGTTGAATGTATCACAATTTAATTATCAGCAAAGTATTCTCCAAAAAACTTTGATTGAAATGTCGGTGCTCTTGTTAAAAACTGGATAAAACAAAAAAATTTGTCTAGGACTCGATAGAGACCATAGCTCCCTCGCAAGAACATGAAGAAATGGGAGGCTATAAACTTACTCGTTAAGGAAGCCATCTTGATTTTAACATTTTTGTTGACTCCATCATAAAGCCGGGAAACTTCTCCTAGATAAAGCTTGTGTCCATATCCATTTATATACAAATCTCAGGATAAAAATTTTAAGAAGGCAGCAACTCAAACCATGCATATACAAAGAGAGAAGAAAAGGTTTACTTGATTATGATTAACATTTATAACTTTAAATATTTAGCGCAATGGCTATTATTAATTATATGGCTAGAAAGAAAAACACATTATTTGCTTTCTTGCAAAGATTTTTACTTTCATTAGGTAATTGATCGCTTTCATTCTATTTTCTTTTCTAGCAGCTTAAAAGGTAAAATTGTTTAGCCCAAGGATGCTTTAATCCGAGGGCACATTATTATTAAGCCTAAAAAATCAAACTTCAATAAAATTGAGCAGGCGGAAAACTGAGCTCAAATGGAGGAGACTTTAAAAGAATGTATTAAGAGAGAGTCAAGGAGGAATGGATACTGTAGATTTTACGGTTTATTGATACAAATACAATTGTGGTGGCAGAGTCACTGTTGATAATTACCAAAAATGGTCTACACAGCCAAACACGTTACCAAATTTATTGTCTACAGTCATGTCAAACAGGTAAAGTTGATAAATCGAATTTGGATAAAAATTTTTCTACATATTTATTTATAATAATAAATAGATTTTGAAAGAAAGCAATGATTTGGTTACGAGTGAAGTGAAGAATATTCTTAAACAAGAAACTTTTTTGACAAAAAATTCAATTGTAAAATTGGAATCGGATAGTTGTAATTTAGCTGATTGTTATTTCAACTTAGTCAAATCGGCAGTAGATATAAATTCAATTTAAATCATTCCGAGATTATTGTAGATGGCAATATTTTGAGCACGATGAATTTTTTTCCTACATCCAACATATCAAGGTAATTAATCAATTGAAAATTAATATAATCAATAATTATTAATGATTGATTTAATATTTGATTAAGTAAAGGTATAAAAAGTGGTAATTCAGAAACTGTTCCAGATTATATCAAAATATGGGAAAATCCAAACATCTGTAATCTCAACTTAAACTAGTAATTATCCATTTGATGCATCAAGATTTGGCAATTAAACTTTTTTTCGGTGACCCTCACAGTGTAGGGCGTGAAAATATTTTTTCAGAGTTAAATTGGATAATGACAAAATTTGAACTTAGAAAAACTTGAAGATATATCCAAAATTTCGGTTATTTATTATCTTTCAAATAAAAAAAAAAGAAGTTCAAAATTTTGGTCGTTCACTTAACAGAAGATGCAAAAAAAAATGAAGATGCAGAAATGAATTGGAATGTAATTATGAAGAAGACTTACTAGTGGTTGATGATTTCAGATTTGTATTTTGGCTGAATTGTGCCCGAAATGTCAAAATATCCAAAATGTGCGTAACTACATGTCATGTTTGGTAAAGATTATCATGCCAATCTATACTAATAATAATAATAATAATAATAATAATAATAATAATAAATATGAAAATAACCTTATTACTTTTAATGTTATACACCTCTTTCCAATAAAAAAATATTAATGAATGATTATAAATGGGAAAATGTATGGAATATACACGGAATACACACGGAATTTACGGATATTAATACTAATACTAATACAATGTCGGAGTCATCCGATGAAAATGCAAAAAAAGATACGGGATAAATACGCGATGCATATGTGTCACTATTATTAATTAAAAAAAACATGAACTGTTATAACCCATCATACAGATAAGATTTTTTTAAATATTTTGAGCTTGCAGAATATGCATCTATAACGAATTTTCATATTGAAAATACAATTTTCGTCATAAATACTAATGTAAAATTTAAAAAATCATAAAAACAGCATTGTTACATTATAGATAAGGTTATTAGGGATTAAAAACACCTTTAATTTTTTTCTGCTTCCAAAGTTATAAACGTTTTAAGATTTCAATTGTTAAAATCAATTTAATTAATTAATTAATTTTTAATCATGCAAATAAGATTTTTTAATTCTGAAAACGGGTTTACTTTGCAGTACATTCTCTGTAACTTGGTAGAATTACATTTATGAACTTAACAATTAATGTACTTTCATATTGAAAATGCAATTCTCATCACAGATTCTAGATTAATTATAAATTTAAAAAAACAGCATCGTTACGTTATAGATAAGGTTTTTTTCTGGCTGTTTTGCTTCCAAAGTTATAAATGTTTCAGGATTCCGATTGTTAAAGAAAAATCGCTTTTAATAAACCGTTATAACTCATACAGATGATATTTTTTAATTCTGAAAAATATTTTGAACTTGTAGGGCATGCCCTACAACATAATAGAATCATATTTATTAACATTGATGTACTTTCATATTGAAAATGCAATTTCCGTGGTAAAAAAAAGTAATAGCAAATAAAAAATTTGACCTACAAAATACTAATACTTATATATAACACCCAATATGGGATGCATACAAAATACACACGAAATACGCACGAACTTATAGAAACATGTTAATACTAATATGGATTTGGTTTTCCCATACGTATTTCATATTCAACACATCACATAATTCATGGATCCGTATGCATCCCGTAATTTTTGGTGTATTTTCGTTTGAAGTTTCCATACGTTTTTCCATACTAGTACGTGAGTAAGGAGTGTACACTACCTGGACAAAAGTATAGGGACACCTGCAGATCATCACAATAATTGAATAAAGTGACATGACAAAAACTAAAAATTTTACTATCCCAATCACACTTGCTTATTAAGTAAAAATTAATTTTCGTATCAAATACTATAATATACTGAAGTTTCACCGCATATAAATAAACCATTGTTGTTTTACAAACCTTAAAAGATAAAAATGAAAATCCTGGAATTTTTTTAAAAATCTTTAACTCAAAAATTGACCACATTGGCAAGTTCTAACAACCTTTGTGGTATAAGTAAAAAATGTTTCTCATATTCAAATCTAGTTACTTCTAAAATTTTAGAGCATTTGGTAGATTAATTAACGAGGGAAAAAATAAAACGTAAAAAAATTTACAAAACAATTCAGCCTTAAACTGCTCACTAATTTGAAACATAAAAGACATCAAAAAATATATGAAACTACTTTAAATTAATTGTATTTTATTAAAAAAAAATCAATATCTTGTCGGGTTTCCTCTACTTTTTAAAACAG